GGCAGGATGAGAGGCTGTTCACTCTGTGGGTTTCTTGCACACATCATGGGGGAATGCCCTCTTTTTGGCCCCTCCAAGCCCTTTGCTCTTCTCAATTCCTTTCACTCTGGCAGCTGTTAAGGTGCATAGAAGTGGAGCCCTGCTTCTGTAGGATGGGGTAGTCAGGCGGATCATGGGCCAAATCCAGACCACCAGATGCTTTTGCATGGACCCCGAAATCTTTGTATTTACTTTTTTTTTTTTTTTAATTTTCTCTGGAGTCTGGATCTTGACCAAGAAATCTGGACCTGAACAAAAAATAATTGACTATACCTGCCTTAACATCTAGAAATCAGTGGTGAAAACACATTACACATGCTAAAATTAGCCAAGTGCTCTGAGGCCTCTACCAGAAACTCTGTCCCTCAGAAATGCAAGCTACAGAGCAAGAAATATTGAAGTTACTGGTAGGGGTGCTTTTTCCTGACTGCCAGAGAGAAGACCTGAAAGAAAAAATGCAGGCACACCAAAACCCCTTCTTGCCTCACACTGGACTGCTACAAAGCTACTTTGGGAACAAATAGCCACCCTACTACCCACAGGGCTCTCCCCATCAAGCCCAGGACTCTTCTAGGAGGAAAGGAGTACTTGTGGCACCTTAGAGACTAACAAATTTATTTGAGCATAAGCTTTCGTGAGCTACAGCTCACTTCATCGGATGCATTCAGTGGAAAATACAGTGGGGAGATTTATATGCACAGAGAACATGAAACAAAGGAGAGTGATCACTTAAGATGAGCTAATACCAGCAGGAGAGCGGGGGGGGGGGGAGGTGAGGGAGAAAACCTTTTGTAGTGATAATCAAGGTGGGCCATTTCCAGCAGTTGACAAGAGTGTCTGAGGAATGGGGTGGGGGGGGGAATAAACATGGGGAAATACTTTTACTTTGTGTAATGACCCATCTACTCCCAAGGTCCAGATGTCACAGAAGCAACAACTCAGCATTCCAGGTCCTAATCTTGGCCCACACTATACCACCTTCCCTACCACCAACAGTTCATAACATCTAGTCCCACTGATGGAATTTCTATAACGAGTGACAACACTCGTCTCAAACATCTTACTGTTTCCCTAACTTGAATGCTCTTTTCCACTGCCCAGACTCGCTCACACCTGCCCACAATTCAGTTTACCAATCTCATATCCTTCTGTCCTTCATCCTCTCGTCCCTCTTTCCTATCCATACACTTGACATTCCCGTACACTCCCATCCAACCTCTCTCTATTCTCTTGCTCTGTTCCATCTCCTCATCACTGTCTCATTTCTCACAGTCTTGCACATGCCCCGCCCTGCCACAACCTTTACTTCAATGCTCCTCTTCAAGCTCCATCCTCAGAATAACCCCATTTCTATCAATAATTTTAATTAATATGTACAAAAGTTAAATATATGGAACCTTTGAGAAGTGTGCAGACCTAATGTATTCTTCATGGTCAACCACATACTCTTAATGTTCATCTTTTGTCATCATCCTGGCTGCACACCGGATTCTGCAAGCAAGCTCAAGAACAACATTCACATAAGTAGTCCCCACTGATTTTAAAGAGTACGGATATAAAAAAGGTAACCATGGAAGGAGGGGTCTGGTGGGAAAGATAGAGCACACTCACTGTCCTCACAGCCCAAGGAGGGAAAAAATGGTCAGGTAGCTTTGAGTCCAGCTACAGGAAGGAAGACAGAAAGAAAGAACTGGGAAGATACCAGTTTGCTTCCCCAGAAGGACCAGATTGCTTACAAGTGACTTTATAAGTAAAATACTGTTCCACTAGCTGGAGCAAGCTTCTTTTATTTATTTTCCATTATATTCCTTGTTCTGGGCCAGACTGAAAAATAATATGCACAGAGATGCCTTTACCTTTTAGTGGCAATATTTGATTTCTTTTTCATCTTTATTTTTCCTATTCCATTCCTGCTACCCAAGAGATATGGCCCCAGCCTACACTTGTACAAAGCTGTTTTCAGATGCATACAGAGTAATGTTTAAACACTTATAAACATAAGCTGAGTTGTTGCTGACCCCTGACTGTGCTCCTGTAGTTGCTGAGCTGAGCCAGAGACTGGAGGACACAGAAGGGTAGGTACTTGACCAGAGAGAAATGTTCTGGAGCAGGAGTCTGGGAGGGACACAGAGGTGGGGGAGAGGGAGGAGGACTAGACAGAGGAGACAGTTAGGGGCCATCAAGGGGTGAGAGCCATGCTCCCCAGTCTCAAATTTGGGAGGCTTTGGATGAGAGTATGTAGAGGAGCCTGGGGAGGCATGAAAGGTGTGAAATGAAGTGAAAGGGACTAGTGAGGCAGAGACCTTCTCTCCCCCATACCCTATATCCCAGCCAGATATATCTTCCTCCCCACCCAAAGGAAGCCCACTTTAATGGGTCTCATAAGTTCTGTTGGAGCATGGCTTCCCTTGTAGTCTTTGTTAACTCGTTTTAAATAGAACAACAAAGATTCCATACTTTAAAAAAAGTTAGTTAATGGTTCCAGCCAGTTCCTCACTGCCATACAATCCTTCAGTCTTATTAAATTTTATAATACAGTAGCTCCTTGAGGGCCCAGTCAGGAACAGGCTCTGTTGTGCTGGGTGTTGTACAATCACAAGCCAATGAGATTCCTGACCAACTCAATATCACACGTCAAACATTAACTTCGTCTTCTTGACTTGTTCTGTAATGGAAATACACTGTTGGGTGTGTACTGTTGAATTTATGTATTGTTTATTAACGTGCAGTAAAGATTTCAAAAGAAATCAAGTTTCAGGGCTCATTAAGCTATGTAGTTCAAGAAGTCCTCTCAGTGTAGTGTGTTGGCAGAGTAGTAGATATTTTTATTACTAGAACCGGAATCAATGATCTATTTCATGTTATGAAGCTTATTCATTGCATGGTGCAGTAAGTTTATACACTTGTATTTAGGCCTTGCAAGTTTGTATCATAAAATAAATATATTTAAATACCAACAAATGTTAGTTTTGGTAGCAAATAGTGTAGCATATGTTATAGTGGATTGGAAATGGAAATCCCTTGAGTAGAAAGTGACATTTTATATCACAGAGGATTTTATAACCTAAGTTTATAATCACCCCCTTCCGTAAGCCTGTGTGTGTGTAGCTCCAAAGAATTTGTGCAGAGGGAGTAATATGTTTGTGGGTATGGGAGAGGAGGAAGAGAAACAGATGGTGAAATCTGGTCAGTTTATAGTGGAAGTAGGTGGAAATTGAGGAAAGAGGTGCTGGAAAACCGGGGCGTTACTACAAGGTAGAGATAAGGTTGTGATACATTGTCAATAGTGTATGGTGACTATGTTGGTGGTAAGGTGAGCCCATGGATGGGGAAGCAGAGGTATTTACTGTTGGTAGCCTTAACTTATTTCCTTACTTTTTAGGTTTTGTACTAGGTATATTATATAGAGAGCAAACTTAAATGACATACAATCTAGTGTCTGTGTATTGTATTTGAGTGCAAGAGATGGTCCAGTGACTATTCCTCTGATATGCAGCTTTCCACTTGTCCCACTCCTGTATCATTAGTTAAAATCAACTAACTTCCTATACATATACACTCATGTGTATAGAAAATGTTTTGAAACCTCGAGTATCTTTTTCAGGGGGGAAACTACATTTTGAATGTTTCTTTTTTTAAAAAGATTAATATGTATAGTTCTTCTTCCACACAATTATCAATCTCCACACAACTGCCTATTATAGGCGAATATGTGTTTTAAGCAGCTAATTAATGGGGTGAGGATGTTGTTTTTTGTTCAGACATTAGAATACTGTGCTGCCAAACAGGAAATCTGAGTTTAAAAACAATCTTAGAACTTTCATTACTATGAGTTAGGGAAATCTATTAAACGTGCTACAAACATGGCACACTTTTTAGGATCATGACAGGAGCTGTATTACTCTGACTGCACTTCTTTAATGTGATTTTCAGTGGTGCTGAGCATTTCCAGCTCCCATCTACCTAGAATGGAGTCCTAAGTGCTCAGCAATTCTAAAAGTCAAGCCCCTTTTTATGGGATGTGGGTAGTTTTAGTTGAAAAAATATATATTTACATAATCGTACCTCTATATTTGGGAGGCAAATAATCAAGTTTCTTTAATTTGTAGTTAAGTTAGTTCAGTTTTTAGATATATTTAGATATCAAGTTTATCACTAATGCCTCCATTACGAAAGACTCTAATCTTATCTCCTGGCATAGTAAATGGAATTTAACTAAATGCAAAGATTAGACATTGACACCTTGTTTCCACTTTGAACACAATAAGGAAGGGAACACTTACCACGGTCTGATTCTAAATCTAGAGTGAACAAGTTTTGTATTTCCATTCCAGTTTTTACTTCCTCGCAACCCTTTCTCCCCACCTGGCCCAACTCCCAGAGAATGAAGAAGGTCTATGGCTTTTGCTCAGTAGACAATTCCAACAGCTGAACCAAAACAGGGTGCAGCAATGGACAGATGTAAGCGGAACAGAGTCCTACAGAACCACTGCCAGCTAATGGAAAATCCTTTTTTCATATCAAGTGTCGTGGCTCTTGAAACAACTCAGAAAGGAAACAAGTACAGTGGTTTAATTCTAGCTTTTAGTAAAGATTTTACCCCATACTTTGAGTGAGAGACTAATGGGATCAAACACGCTAGTATTAAAATACAAGTTCAAAGTGCTCATTAACATTTGTCTCTAGAACGCTAAATGAAAATCTACACTTTTCCATAGGACACAGATATTTATCATAGTGTAATAGGGTAAAGCATTGTAAAAACAACATTCATTACAAATTGCTTCAAAACCCATTTCTCACAAAAAAAAATCCCAGATTTAGATATTCAAGCAGCCATTTACTATTTTGTTTGATTATGCTTCCTAATTTCATATTCTGGATATGAAAATAATCCAGCGAACTAGTATACTTAATATACAATGTATAATGATTATATTATATTTTAAACAAGAACTTACCACAGTGGGGTTACCACTGCTTATCAACTGGCTGACTTCATGGAAAATGCTCTTGCAGTCAATTGATTTGTCTAATGATCCTCGTTTCACTATTACTGCTACTGCTAATAGAATCTGCTCCCGAACATACTTTTGAAGGCTGTAAACATAATACAAATATTAAGTTCTTGCCATTAAGTTGAACAACACAAGGCTTCTGTAAAACAGAATTTTAAATCTGGGTTATTTTTTCCAGAACACAATGAAAGCTTAAATGAAAACTGAATTCTACAGATGTCAAACAGCCATCCATTCAGGAATTAGAAGTGTCACTATTATTTAAATGTTTCTACTTGTTAGCCTAGGAAGATTAAACAAAGGTAAATCATGGTTTATGTAGGAATTTATGCAAATATTTTTGGAAGTACTTCCATCCATACTTACTTAGGCCTTTGTAAGACATAAGTTAAAAGGAATGTTCGCAGTGACTCGATGCTACTTTTTTCCAAGAGAATCCATTCTCGCACAACTGCTTCCATTATTGCTGTGGCAGCTTGAAAAAGGACATAGTCCACTTTACTAGTTTCTGTTAAGACCAAAGACATTATTCAATTACCACCTGACATTTTCACTGCCCGTGCTGGTTAAAATGAAAAAATATTTTTCATTCAAAAAAATATATAGTCAGCTGTAGTTTTGTTAACTGATTTTGCTATTTCAGGGGTTAGTTCCGCTCACAGGTGACAAGGAGATAAATTACCAGAATTATCATATCATCATATATTATTATGAATGGCATGAGGAGTTGGGAGGAGATGGAGACTAGGATGAGAAGCCTAAGGAGTGGGGACTGACTGGCTAGACAAAGAAAACGGGATTGGGATGAGGAACCGGGGCAGGGGAGGGAGGGGGAAACTCGACTGGTCACTGACTAACACATAGCATATGTCCATGTAATTAAAGATTGTATCATAATGCCTATGCACAGGAACAGGAATTAATGTGACACAGTCAGCCTTAATTCTTTCATCTTCTAACTTTTGAATGCTTGATTTTGCAACCTTAATGTTATTTTAATGTAGTTTGTGGATGCATAATACACCTCTATCCCAATATAATGCAGCCTGATATAATGCGAATTCGGATATAACATGGTAAAGCTGCGCTCAGGGAGAGGGGCTGCTTTACCTCATTATATCTGAATCTGTGTTACTGCAAGCGGTTCCTCTGAGCCCCCCCACTTACTTGCTGCGGCCCCTCCACCCCAGCTCACCGCCCGCTCCGCCTCCTCCCACGAGCGCGCCGCAGCTCCACATCTCCCCAATTGGCACGGGAAACCTGGAAGGGGGGGAAGAAGCGGAGCAGCGGTGGCGCGCTCAGGGGAGGAGGCGGAGGCAGAGTGGCAGTGAGCTGGGGAGAGGAGCGGTTCCTCTGTGCCCCTCCCACCCGCCCCAGCTCACTCCTGCTCCGCCTCCTCCCACGGGCACGCCGCGGCTCCACTTCCCCCACCCCCCCCTTCCAGGCTTCCCGCACCAAACAGCTGATTGGCGCGGCAAGCCTGGAAGGGAGAAGGGAGGAGTGGAGCGGCGACGCACTCAGAGGAGGAGGCAGAGCGGAGATGAGCTGGGGCTGGGAGCGGTTCCTCTCCCTACTGATATAATGCGGTCTCACCTATAAGGCAGTAAGCTTTTTGGCTCCTGAGAACCGCGTTATATTGGGGGGAGGGAGTAAGGGGGGTGTATATATAAAAAGGACATTGATTTTTTAGGATTTTATAACCTATGTTTTATAAGTATCCCTTTGCTTAAACCTAGTCAAATGTTTGTAGATAACTTAAAAAAAACAAACAAACTTGAAACCATCAACTCCTGACTTCTGAATTTCTACTTTTTTTTTAATTTGGGGGGCACTGCAAAAAAAGCATAGAAGGTGCAGTATGCAGGGAAATGGCTACAGAGCGGAAAAGGCAGAAGCGGGCACGATAAGAGGATAAAGAGCTGTACCTGGCATTTGGCTGTGGTGGGCTAACTGGCAGGGCAAGAAAATTGCGTGACACGAAGCACACTTGTACTCACACACTACAAACTACTGTAATAATCTTTGTACAAAATATGCCTTGTGAGGTATCATTTGAAAACTAGTCACTCACTGATCATTAATATTCTTTGAGATATATGTACGCAATGTGTATTAATAATTATGAATATATGCTGGAATTACAATGTGTGTGTGTGTGTAAACCAGGTATGTTGGGGGACTTGAACAGGTCTATCTTAAACAAAGGATTGTGTGTTTACCTCAATTTACATATACGACGTAAACAGACCCATCAAGCTAACAAGGAGTGGAGGCAAACCTCATACTAACAAGCGTGGGAGAAGACAGGAGGTGCCTACATCCAGCAGCTTGGTCTGGATTTCACTTTTCAGAAGAATCCATTTCAAAGGTTTACTTGTCTGTAAAAGACTGGGGGGCTGAGCCTCAAGTGATAAGCAACTGAATCCACTGATTCCACACAATATTACTGTATTATAAAAGTTTAGAGAGTAAGGTCTCCTCTGAAAACAAATGACACACTAGTGATTAACACATATATTTCACAATGATATTAACATTATGTAAGCAATTATGGATACGCATTGATATTAGGCTGTACAGCAGAGATGGGCAAACTCCGGCCCATAGGGCTTTTTAATTTGGCTCTCAAGCTCCCTCCAGGGAGCGGGGTTGGGGGCTTGCCCTGCTCTGTGCTCCAGCCAGATTGGGGGTTTTCCATGCAGCTCCCGGAAGTAGCAGCATGTCCCCCCTCTGGCTCCTATGCATAGGGGCAGCCAGGACCAGGGGGCTCCGCACGTAGTCCCCACCCCAAGCGCCTTCTCCCGCAGCTCCCATTGGCCAAGAACCATGGCCAATGGGAGCTGCAGGCGCGGTGGCAGCGGACAGGGCAGCACGCAGAGCCACCTGGCCACACCTCTGCATTGGACTGGAGGGGGACATGCCACCGCTTCCAGTAAATGCCTCCTGGAGCCTGCACCCAATCGCCCCCCCAGCACCCCAACCCTCTGCTCCAGCCCTGATCCCCCTCCCGCCCTCCGAACCCCTCAGTCTCAGCCCAGAGCACCCTCCTGCATCCCAAACCCTTCATCCCCAGCCCCACCCAAGAGCCTGCACCCCCAGCCGGAGCCCTCACCCCCTCCTGCACACCAACCCCCAATTTCATGAGCATTCATGGCCCACTATACAATTTCTATACCCAGATATGGCCCTCAGGCCAAAATGTTTGCCCCCCTTTGTTGTACAGTCTGCCCAGACAGGAGGAAATTGCACAGCTATCTACCCGTCTCCTATGTAAATTAAGCATGGTGGAATCAAACAATGGAAGCCCCATCCGGGGGAGGGAAGCACACAGGAAGTCATCCTGCCTCTTGAAACAAGGTAATTGAACTTTGGAAGATACAAATAAGGACAGACGCCAGCTTTGCCATCCATCACTAGACAGACACAAGAGGCCAGAGTTCCTGCAAGCTAAGAAAGATGGGTCCTTCCACCAAGGGGGGGCGCTGCTGAAGTCTCTGAAACTGAATATAGGCGAGAAACGTGCTTAGGCAAAGAAGCAAAGGGAAGCCAGCACCTTGTACTTTTGTGGAAGGTCCTAACTGAGGAAAAAAAGTCAGCCATGACTGGGAAGAAAAATGACTGGTGAGAGAAATCATCTCAAACAAAGTCTGTATCTTGCTAGATTTAAGTTTGACTTTTAGAAGCATGGTTTGTTTTACTTGTAACTTTGTATCTTCATTCCTTATACTTGAATTCATTTACCTCTCTGTATAATTTGTCAATAAATTTATTTTTTTTTATCATAAATGAACTCAGTTCTGTATTTAAACGGAAGAGTATATTACCCCCAGTTAAGTTAATAAGCTGTAATGTGTTCCTGAGTTTGTAGAGGAACAAATGAACCATATAATTTCTCTGAACTGCCTAGGAGAGGGCTGGACATTGTAGAACACACAGTTTTGGGAAAATCTGGGATTGGAGGTGTGTTGTGGACACCCTGCAAGTAGTAACCCAGACTGGTGGAAGCCAGAGTGGGGCTGCAGACAGGCTGCTGGGGTCAGGGATGCTAAACCAGGGCTGTCCAGCACACAGACACTGAGGGTGTTACCTGCAGGCTGGCTGTGAGTGACCTAGGTTGGAGCTACAACAGTAAAACATACAGGGCAGACAATGACAATCTCTGACTTGTCTGGATTGCACCCCCACCAGAATGTGACATGCTGGCTTGTCTTAAGAAGCACCACTTACTTGTTGAAAGGGAATGCAGGTGGCTATGAAAGGAGACTTAAAAATATTTTTAAAAGAGCCTACAATATTCATAAAAAGAAAAGGAGTACTTGTGGCACCTTAGAGACTAACCAATTTATTTGAGCATGAGCTTTTGCTCAAATAAATTGGTTAGTCTCTAAGGTGCCACAAGTACTCCTTTTCTTTTTGCGAAGACAGACTAACACAGCTGTTACTCTGAAACCTACAATATTCATGTTTCCTATATATATATATATGACAAAGGCCTTCTCTATATTCAAAGTTGCACCGATTTAGCTAGAATCTGTTATTAAATTGATTCAAAACTGGCAGAAAACGTTCAGTGGATACTTAAATAGATTTAAACCTGGCTTGTATCAATGTAGCTTAGTTTGGAAAAATAGTATGTGATCATGTAATTAAAGATATCATAATGCATACATACTGGGAGGCTGAATTAAGGTGACATGGGCTACCTTAATTCTGGTATTTCCTAATTTGAATGCTTGACTTTGCAACCTTAACATTTTTAAAATGTAATTTGCTAATTTAAAAGAAACCTGAAAAATTAAATTCTATCATGTCAAATCATATTGAATCCTTACTTGAGCTAACCAAGCTAACCCTCATCAGCAGGGTTGGGGCCACTTGAGCTAACTGAATAACTAGTGGGAATAGTAGGCTGTTATTCTCTATGTGGACCGGGGGGGGGAGGGGGGAGGAGGGGAGGGGGCGGGGAGAGAGGGAGAGAGAGAGAGAGATGCACTTTGCCAGCGGGTTTCAGAGTTTTTTCCTGACATAAGAACAGCCATACTTGGTCAGACCAATGTCCCATTTAGCCCAGTATCCTGTCTTCTGACAGTAGCCAATGCCAGATGCTTCTAAGGGAATGAACAGAACAGGGCAATCATCAAGTGATCCATCCCATCGTCCAGTCGCAGCATCTGGCAGTCAGAGGCTTAGGGTCACCCAGAGCATGGGGCTGCATCCCTGACCATCTTGTCTAATGGCCATTAATGGACCTGCCCTCCATGAATTTATCAGCAGTAGAATGGAAAGATTCAGGACTCCTAAGTTTAATTCCAAATTTTGGGGAGGAGTGCTCTCTAGTGCTTATAGACTGTTCTTATCCTGTTGTCCCAGTTTGTCCCCCTCTCCATCCCCATCCACCCTGTCTTCTACCTCTTACCCTTCCGCTCCTACACAATCCTCTCCAACTCCATCTCCTGGCTGCTGCTTTCCTCCCCCTTTGAGCTATCCTTCTACCCACTTGTTCCTGTCTCCATCCCTCTGCGTGCATGTCCCCCCACTATGTCCCAGGTACTGCCCCCACTCTGGCTCCTCCAACCCCATCTCGCTGTCCCTCATTTCTCACCCCTCTGCATTCAAATCAGCTGCTTCCTCCTTCCCTCCACACTGCCTGGGTGACAGAGGGATCACAGAGCACAGAAAAGAGTCTATCATCAGTTCCTGTGCCTAACATCACAGCAGCCCCAGAGGAAGCAACTGCAAGGAATGTCCTGCTCAGCCCCTGCAATCCTGAGCTGAAGCGTGTCCACTCACCCTGTGATGATGGCACACACGCGCACGCACACACACACACTCTGATCAGCATATAGGAGCTGAGTGGAGATGTTTTGTGCTCAGTAGAGGTAATTTTGCTGCCAAGCTACCTAGTCTCTACTGCTTGAAATTTTTTCAGAGGCTTGTAATCTGTCCAAATGTGAGCAGTTTTCTACGGGCATTACAGAAGATATAGCCCTGACACCAGGGCAACATGAACCTTCCTGCCAAATTCCAAGACCCTGCTCCAAAGCTTAGAGGTCCTAGAGTTTTTTTTTTAATAAAATGGATGGAAGTGGGGAGTTTTAATCACAGGTAAAACAGCATATTTCCCCATAATCTCATACTCTGAAATGGCATGATCATTTTAGCTGAAACTTACTAAAAAAATTCAGCCTGAGGCAGAGAACTGGCATAGAAAATTTCCACCTGTATAGTTAAAGTTTGACAAAATCATAAGCAACAGAAAATAGGGTCTTACAATGGAAAGTGACAAGCAGCCTTAACAATACGTGGCACTACCAGCTACACATACAAACTATTCTCAAACTAAAATAAGAGTGTCCTCGCCGAGGAGTAGCACCTACTTTACTAAATCAGTTTCTAAATCAAATTTAGAAATTCTCCAACAGAAGGAAGTTGTACCAAGGCCTTCACCAAACCTGTGAAATTTTGAGAGGGCACTAAACTTCTTTTTTCCCTCAGCAGACCATTAAAAACACTAGTAGCTCTGCAAACACCACAAAAATTATAGCTAAAAAGCAAGGATTTAAGATTACACATACTGTATTGGATCTTAAAGAGTTCTATTTAACTTACTTTTTAAATGCTTTGCAGTTCACCAACAAATTTAATACTGTACAATAAAAATGAAAGAATATCTAACCAAATGTTCACATTCCCAGATGCAAAAAACTAGTATTTTCTATTAGTTGTAAAATTGATGACACACTTTAAAAAAAATACACTGAAGACTTACCCAAAATATGCTTGCAAACAGCAAATGGTGATTTTGATTTTCTAAATGATAAGAATATGTGCTCGGCATGCTGGCGTTGTTCATTATTGACCATGGAAGGTGGTGCCTACAAGAAAATAAAGTTTACTTGCATTTAGGTAATCTGCAAAGTATCGTTCCTACTACATATGCATTTTATGAGAAATTTTATAAGCTGGTATTTGCCTTGGTGAATAATCCAAACAACAGAAATATACATCTGCTAAGGCAAGGTACCTCTTATTTGTCTGACATAGCCTTCCTTGTACACAAATACCCCTACAGCAGGATGTAAATATCTCTATGTGCATATTCAAATGGCATGCAGACAATAAATCATTCTAAATGCTTCTACACTGCTAACAATACTAATACCAAAACACATTTAAGATAAGGTGAAAGGAAAGGAAGATTAAGGTTCTACTCAATCCTTTTTGCACTGGACTGACAAAGCCCAAATCAAATAATAGCACACACTCTAGTACAGATAAAAACCCACCATCATCACCTAAAACATAATGGACTACTGAAATGTAAACCAAGAGAAATGGGATAAATTATACCTAAATTCACCAAAAAAAGCTTTAATTGTGGTACTAAATTTTTCCAAATGTTTAAATTTAGATTAGAGATTTTAAATGGTATAGTAATCCCAAAAGGTTGAAGAACGTGTATCCTGATTCTTTTAGGAAACAAAGTCATCATTAGTGATATGCTGCCCTCTAGTGTTTAGAGTCAGCATATTACAAAGAGACTAAATTGGTGCTAGGCACTTATAATAATCCCTTACAGAGTTACACAAAACAGCATGATCAAAATGTTTTGCCGTTTACAAGTGATCTCATATGGAGATTTACTAGTACCAATAGCCTTACTTGTGTCTAACAAATATTAAAGCTATCCTAACCAATTAATCTAGCAAGAGGAATTTTCTATTAGATATTTCAATTCAAGGATCTATTCCTTTAAGATGACATGCCATGGCATATTTTCATACCTACATTATAATACTTGTCATTTTATTACATCTGTATTTGTACAAATGACAGACTTCAGAAATTTCTAGAGTATTTTTCCCTTTTAAAATCTCAGTAGAAAAAAATTAGTAGTTCAATACTTATTTTTTGTTACAAGCAGGAGTAGCACCTTAAAATTAAATCAGAATCTGCTTACTAAAGTATCTATTGGAGTAGGTATAAGTTTTTCAAACTGAAAACTCAAACCCACCTCAATAACTATCCTCTGTAAAAAGTGTATTTATTCCTCCTATATCCATTATAGTGGAGCAAAAGATCTTCTAGAGTTGAGCATCACTTTGCTCAAAAGTTGACTATTTTAAGCACTCTAAAATCTACATGCTTAATCTGCCTTGAAATTTGCTGTTTCATGAAATTTGCTGCTGGATAGGGTTAGTGACCAAATTTGGGGCTATCTGAGCAAGGGATTTCAAGGATACAAGGGATACAGCCCCTCCAAAAAATTTGATGTTTACAAAATCAGCTGGTTCAAATTCATTTGCACACACTATGCCTCTATTACTCCTCAAACTGATCTCAGCCGCTTGGGATTTATCTCAGCTAGTGCATGGCACCCACTACCCTTTTGGGGATAACAATATTGAAAAAGTTAAGGGTAAAGTTCTTAACTCCAGGTTGGCATGAACTAAACTGATGCATCTAAAAATGAAATGCACATGTGCAGCAAGACTAGGGCTCTGTTAAAGGTAGAGGGTTTGCATGAAGTCCGAGAAGCTGGGTGGCTTGAGGTCATTCACCTTGTAGTAACTGGAATTATTCTAGATGCATTGTCCCTATGCACTAGTTCACTTAGAATCATAGAAGGTTAGGGATTGAAGGGACTTCAGGAGGTCATCTAGTCCAACCCCCTGTTTGAAGCAGGACCAATCCCCAATTTTTGCCCCAGATCCCTAAATGGCCCCCTCAAGGATTGAACTCACAACCCTGGGTTTAGCAGGCCAATCCTCAAACCACCGAGCTATCCCTCCCCCCTTCAAGTTGTGCATGCACTTGAGACCAAAGAATTCTTCTTAGCAGTGTCCACTTGCTCTGTACAAGTAATCTTGCTCTCCTTGTCCACCACACACAGTGTGCAGGGGGGCTGCACTGGACCACTGCCATCTCAGCTCCACACCATCACCAAAAGTCTTGAGACTGGGGTCTGAGGCAGAGGGGAAAGAGGATAGTCAGCACACTACAAATAGGGACAACACATCTTGAAGAACTCCAGTTAATACAAAGTAATCTCTCCTTCTTCAAGTGGTTGTCCCTATTCATAGCACACTTCAGGTGATTCACAGGCAGTGACCCCTCTTATAGAGGTGGGTGCCCAGAGCATTGCTCAAGTGCTGATTGAAGGATTGCTCTCTGCGTAGGGAGACATTTAAGGCAGCTGCCTGCACCAAAGCATAGTGGGCTTTGTGAAGACATGGACCGAGCCGCATGTCACCCCCTGCAGACGTCAATGATTGGAACATCCTTGCAAGATGCTATTGAGGTTGCCTGGGTTCTTGTTCTCATTGAGCGTGTTTTCATGCTGTCCTCAAGAGAACTTGTTCACCTCATAGCAGAGTATTATGCAGCCAGAGATCCATTTTGACTTTCTCTGAGCAGAAATCGCCTTCCCCTTCTTTCCACAAATGAGACAGCTTTGATGATTTCCAAAGCAGCCTAGTCCTCTGAAGGTAAATGGCCTGGGTCCTACACTCATCCAAGGTGCACAATCTCACCTCTTCCCTGTTGACACATGGCTTAGGATAGAACACAGGTAAGTTAATGCTCTAAAAATCCAATACCACCTTAGGGAGGAACCTTGAGTGCAACCTCAGACACCTTGTCCTTGTGGAAGATTGAAGCGGGGAGGGGTGTCCACCATAAGCGCCTCTAATGAAATCATGACCAGAAACTCCACCTTCACGGAAAGGTGCAGAAGGAAGCATGATGACAATAGTCCAAACGGTGCCCCATAAGAGCCAGTAAGACCAAGATGAAGTCCCAAGCCAGCGCAGGTGTCATCACTGGTGGAAAACCCTCACTATCCCCTTCAGAAACCAGAACTTAACCTAGTGCAAAAAGATAGTATGGCTGTTCACTGAGGAATGAAATGTGCTGACAACAGCCAAGAGCACCCTGACGGAGTTAAAGGATAATCCTGCGGACTTCAGGGATAGCAGGAAATCCACCACATCAAGGGTCTCGGTCAGCAACGGGGAAACGCCCCACTGGTCATGCCACACTTAGACATGTAGCACTTCCTGGTGGAGTTTTTCCTGCTATTACTCCATATGACCTGCATGCCTGCCAAGTAACAGCTTTCTAGATCTGACATCCATCCAAATACCATGCTGTCATAAGGATGCGTCAAGATAGGTATTCTTTTCTCTTGTCCTGGGTCAGGGGATCCCATACAAAGAGGTGGTTGACTGGAGGTCAGGCCAACAGCTAAAGCACCACGGAGTACCAAAAATGCCACGGCCATCATGGAGCTATGAGAATGATCTGTACCTTGTCCTGCTTGATCTTCCGCAGGACCCTCAGTAGCGCGCAGATGGCAAAGAGGTGCTCTTACCATTCTCAGGTGGATGTACAGGGGGTTCTTCCTATTCAGAATCCAACTATGTTCTCACAGACTTGTTCATGAGGAACATCTTAAGGCGGATCTCCTGCAATTTCTTTTTCCTTCACGTAAATAAACTGCAAATACTGCATCTGGATGGAATATGGGTTTCTCCCAGGCAGTACAAACAGGAGTCATGGTCACAATTTACCAAGAAGCAGCGCAGACAGACTACACAGTTCTTAATATTGGGGCTCTTTGTCATGCTGTCCCTTCCCCACTGGATGAAACAAATGGGGTGAGTAGATGAAGAAATGCACCACCAAAAGTGGGGGGGACTCAGTGGAGGAAACACCCTTAAGAGTAATGAAAAGCAAGCCTAACTGAACTGAACAGAAATAGCTATCTCTAACTATCTACAGGTAAACTTCAGGAGAGCACAACAAATACTATGGCTCCATCTCGGACCACAAGCAGTAAGAAGGAACTGAGATGGTGGCAGTCCAGCATAATCCCTTGTATCCTTAGTATGGCACACAATAAGAGCAAGGGCGCATGCGCAGACCAAGTGGATGCTGCTAGTAAGAAGTCTTTGGTCTCAGGTGCTCACCTGAAGTGAACTACACATAGGGACAAGCTCTCAAAAAACCTGAGCTACACCCATGCACTGTGAGTTTAAACCCTACCCTTGGCAGCTTTCAAATAATGTGCTAGACATGTTCTTCACTCTCTGCCTGCATTCTACAGGGAATCTTTTTGGAAGTTTTCCTCAGAGACCAGGAATTGGGGAAGGTACAGCGTGAGGGCTTCTTCGCCTTAGGGCTGCTCTGGCACAGCTACTGAGGGGCCAGCACATTCTTAGATACTGACCCTTATTAGTACCAGGAATCACTCAAAATGTTACATCTTTAAAAACCCAATGGGATGGCTAGAGCTTTGATGAAGACCTGGGTTTCCAGAAACGCAGTTTTTCTTCTATGACACCTCGACAAATAAGGAATCGCCCTAAAAATGGACCTTTGTGCTCTGGGAACTCAGAAGGGCTGACAAGACAGAACTATAAGCAGGGAAAGATGAGCTCCTTCCCCTCCAGTAACATACTTGGAGAAGGGGAAGTGGAGCATTCTATGCCTTCCCCCTCTCTTCCTGTTCTTCTACAAATATTGAGAGTTTGTCCCTATGCACACTGCACATCACCCAACAATTCCTCCATGGCTATTTCACTAGGCTGAGAGAGTGACTCCAGGGTTCTTCTTTCTACCACTGGCCCCCAGCCAGAGGAGGGAAAACAGAATTCCCCTCCTGCCTCCATCAGTGAGGAAGGGACTCCACAATCACCTTCCCTTCAGATGCTATGGCTTCTAGGGAAAAAAAGGAGGTCAGAGCTGTGCAAGGGAGCATGGGGAGGAAAAAATGAGGTGGTCACAGCTGTGCAGTGGAGGGATCTAGGAAATTTCAGCTATACCCACAAACTAACCTCCCCATATTCACACACACCCAGTTTCTGTCTCCCCT